GCATTGGTTGAATAAATAATTTTTGGGGAAAACTAAAATGATTGAAAATGATAGTGAAAGGCAATATATATACTTTAAATTATGAAGTGATTGTTACATTTTGTAAAACTTCAACTTATAATTTGCTCTCACAATGACAATTACATTTCAATTAATATATAAATTTTTATTTCACTATTTAAAAATATATTATATAATTATAATAATAATAATAAATAAAATTTAAAAAAATGTTAAAATCTAAATAAAAATAAGATTACTAATAATAACTAAATATTCATACGAATCTAAAATTGCTAGAATAGACCAATTTACTTCTAAATTGGATTTATCTATTGAACTAAATTTATATCTCTTTAATTTTTCACCTTTTTTTTTAATTATTGAATTGAAAATATAATAATTGATCTTTCACCACAAAGAGAAAAATTAATTAGCAATTGTTTTGGCTTATTTGGATATATAGATGTTTGCATAGGGAATATATACTCGAAAAACTTTTTTAAAACGTCAAATTCATCGATGATCCCATAAAATTGACATCAAATTTCATATAGATATTTTTAACTAGAGAATATTTATTTTCGAAATTTTTAATAATATTCTATTATGTTATTTTGCATATTATGTGTGTTACACTTACTTTAAGCGTGTAAAAGACATAATTTTATGATTTTTGAACTTTTTTATTTCTTTTTCTTCCTTCTCTCCTTCTCACACTTCCTTCACTATATATCATCACTTTGCCACCGTTGTATATTCAATATTTTCCACTCTTTGTTATTTCTTGACGTGGAAAATTAAATTAATAATATATATCAGCAAAAATAATCTAAGAAAGGATAAAAAAATATGTCTAGAGCAGATATTTCTTCATGATATCAAATTTTTTTATCTAATTTTTTTCATAGTTTCATTGCCGGAAAGTTTATCGAATTCTTCAAATGTTTGTTGGTATATTTTCACCTCTCTCTATTTGAGTTGATTTTTTTTTTCAGATTCAAGTTTTGAAACATTAATTTTCTACTTCTCAAAGCTTTTGACTTTTTCTATTTTGATGAACCAATTTCAAGTAAATTTATAAATAGATCTAATTTTATCATGGATAAAAATTTTTGGGATAATAGTATGATAGTTAAGTTATGGGTAATATAGTTAGATTATGAGTTTTACTTATGACCCAAATTAGTTATCTAGATTTTTCTTATATATATATATGCCACATGTCATTTTTTAATTCGCTACTTTGACACGTTATCGGCGAATGTAATACACACATCTTATATATTTGGTTGGTTGTCAAAAACGTTTCAATATAACACAACGTCCCCCTACTTAAGGTGTTTAAAATGAAACATGAATAAGGTCTACTTGAGATGTCCAAGTGAAAAAATTGATGTCAACTTTAGGTGACTACCGATGAGTTAGGCCTTCTTAAAAATATTTTACCATATACCCCCTCAATTTCAAAAAGAATGACCTCCTTTATTTTTCAGTTTGTTTAAAAAAGAATGACGATCTTTTTCTTTTTTTGGTAACATTTTTATTTCAACTTTCCACGTGGCATGTTTAAGACCACAAGATTCAAAAATCTTCTTTGTATTCTTAAACTCTATATCAAATCAAATCAGGTCATTCTTTGTGAAACGAATGGAGTATTACAATTAAAAGAGACTTTTTGAGGTTCTTACTTCGAATCTCAAAACACTATTCTACAAATCTTATTACTTATATTTACAAATGTTAAACCATATGGTAAAATATATTGAAATTTGTTTAGTGAGTATTTGTACATGAAATTAAATTTGTGGGACTTACCTTTCCCAATAAACACAAAAATATAGTCAAAAAAAATTTATTCAACTAAAATCCAGCCAATATGCCCAAAATTCTTAAAGATGAATTCAGATCAAATCTTTGATTAAAGTAAAGAATATATGATGATATTTGAGTCTAGATTTGATATATAAATTGAAAGCCAAGAAGTCTAACGATGTTATTATTTATTTATTTTTTTAACGATGTTATTTTGAATTAGTGGCTAAGACAGAATAAATTTCATGCAACGATTATAAGAAAAAATCTCACATATATTCACTCAAACGGATCGAATTTTCCCTAAATATCGAGTTTTGAGCGGATTGGGAGGTATTACCCAAGGAAAGAGAAAAGGATACTTTCGAATAAGGAATAATAAATAAATGGAAACAAGATAAAATCTTGTATCAAAACGAGTTTTGGCATCACCAGAAGAATCGACCAATAATTTTTCTGACCGGATGAACTATTAGAAGAAAATAGAGAAAAAAAATTGAGTAAAATCACGAACTAATCATTAAGTAGATACAAATAGATGCAAATTCTGACAAGATCCAACGATGACCAAATACCTTCATAAAAATCCAAACCATAGAAAGATAGAACATAGCTAAAAAAAAAAAGAACATATTAAAGAGAGGAGATGAATAGATGAGAGGTAGTTACAAGTTTTCATGTATTTTTGGACTCTTAACTACCACTTGTTTTTTCCTTTGTGTTTCTAGGTCTTATTAATAAAGTAGTTGTTGACCAACCAAAGTTGTGGAAAGAAGCGTTAATTAACGACGGATTCAGAATCTTAACTAAATCGAAATTAAAAAAAAATAGTAAAAAATTTGAAAATGAAATCTCAAAATAATTTTTGAATCCCTTAAAATAAACCAGCTCGCAAATCCAACCTTTTATATCGTGTTCAAGAAATTCATCAAACACTTTACATACACATAAAATATTTTTAAAAAGTTACCTTATATACATACATACATATATATATATATATATTTATTTGCTGAACAACTTCACATCTGATTGTTAGTGCTCTTTTATTCTTAATCAAAAGACTCATGTTCGAATCCCTTTGAATATGAAATCATCTTTATTAAGGAATACTTTATTTCAAACATAAAACTTTTTAACGTAAAATTTAAATTTTATCAAATTTTCATGGAGATATCAGATATCCAATTTAAAAAATATATATAATGATCAATGTGGATGCATTACTGTGGACTGTGCCGCAATATGGTCGGAAAAACAAATGAGTTATAATACATTGTTTATTTTACTCGTTTATACTTCCTCTAATACTTGGTCAACATGGTCAATCTTTATTTAATGTTGACTATTGACTTGTCAATATTATTTCTAGGCTAAAGAGGTTGTATCGGACAATTATGGATTTTTGAGTTTTCGTCATTGATTACTGATAGTTTTTATGTTTGATAATTGTAATGTTTGGATTAGTTTATGTATATTAAAATTAATTTTACGAGATATTTATTGATATCTCTCATCAGATATCAATAATAATTATCAGATTGTTCTACAATGTACAGACAAATAGAAAAGAAATTACCAATTGTTTATGTCTTTGCTAGTTGAACATGTGTAGGATTTAATCATACGACTTATTGCGACTAATACATGCTTTTCCCGTTTCATAAAGAATGATCTAGTTTGACTTGGCACGAAGTTGAAGAAAATAAAGAAGACTTTTGATCATGCGGTCCTAAATTAAAGTTATGTCAAACGACAAATTGTTCTTTCATCTTGTGGCCTTAAATATGTCATGTGAAAAGTTGTTACAAAGAAAAAAACATTCTTTTTTAAACCGACTAAAATGGAAAGGAGCTCATTCTTTTTGAGACGAAAAAAGTAAAACTAAAGAAGATGACATATTTTAAGTGGTTAATCAACTATCCATGTAATGGATATTTGAGAATGCGCACTAAAATTCTTTTAAAATCTGAGCCCGAACATATGTGGTCTAATAAGGACACTTTAATTATTATGTGTTCACGTGCTCAATATCGAAATAAATTACAAATTTAAATGTCTAAATAAAATTAAAAAAATGATTGGTAAATTCTTCATAAATTTTTATACCAGTAATTTATCTAAATAATATGTACAACATTACTATACATATATAAAGTTAATATATACAATATTTTTTTCTAATACATATACACTCCACCAAACGATTTCCTATCATCGTGACATATTCTTATGATGATCATATGAATGTCATGATTATGACATATTCAAAACTACTATAGTTTCAAAAAGGTATTTTTTTCATAGGCTTACCAAAAATTCAATCATTATTTTTTTTTCTTCTTTCTCATGATTCATTCCCAAACACCATATTTTATAAAAACAAACTACAGAATAAAGTCCTCCACCAAACGTTTTTCAAGTTATTGATAATGTATACACATTTTGTCCCCACTAAACCATATAATAAAAAAAAAAATCTATCCAATAAACACTTAAATCCACCGTCCACCTCAATTATTTCTGTCATATAATATTATATATATTCTTCCTAAGAAAAGTCTCCCTTCTACCCCATGTTTGGATTTGTAGATTTTATGCGGATTCGATTGAATTTAGTAGATTTTAATTTATATAATGTATTTTTATTAACATTAATAATAATAATATATTCAGTGAAATGTCATTAAGTGAGATCTGGAGATGATGGAATATACGTAGACCTTATTATTGTATCGTAAAAATGGAGAAATTGTTTCTAACATATATTATATTTGTATTACTAAATTCATTAAATATGTATATATATTAAATTTAGAACGTAAGCTAATTATTGTTAGTATAATATTTATAACGTAAAAAATTGAAATTCTAGCTTCATCTCGGCTCGACCCCACCATGCACCTACAATAAAGCGATTGGGATTGGGAACAACTATAAATAGCCCTCATTTGAGTGCAGCCAAAATGTAATAGTTAAGTGAAAAGTGTATGAATTAATATTATTACTTAACAAGAGCCTCAATCATCCATATTCCAAGAATCTTGTAAAAACTACATACACCTTTCACATATCATGATGAGGCTCTCAAGTGGAAATAATCTCAAAACAAATTGTAACATTGTTTTCACCAAACAACATATGGAGTTGGTACTCCCTATTTCAAAGTGTTCTACATTGAGTAAACGAGTCGTAGCTCGTAGCTTCAAGATCACGAACTCGGGGTTGGGCCACTGCTCTGTTGGACACAGAGCAGTGGTCGGACTCCGGGACCGTTGGATGGAATTTCAAGGGATCAAGAATTGGGAAGGGTTGCTTGATCCACTTGATGATGATCTCCGTAAGGAGATCTTGAGGTACGGGGAATTCGTTGAGGCAGCCTATCGTTGCTTCGACTTTGACATGTCATCACCCACGTACGCCACATGTCTTTATCCTAAGAGTTCAATGCTGACAGACTCTGGACTGGACAAGACCGGCTATAAGGTGATCAAGAACTTGTACGCCACGTGTGTGGTCCAAATGCCACGATGGACTAAAAAGACGTTCCCAAACCTAGCGTCTCCGCGATCCAGCTGGATCGGTTACGTGGCCGTTTGCGACGACGAAAAAGAGATCACTAGGCTTGGGCGTCGCGACGTGGTGATCGCTTATCGGGGTACCGCCACCTCATCTGAATGGCTCGAGAATTTTCGCGCCACGTTAACTTGCTTACCAGACGACATGACGACGTTCGACGAAAACTACGATCAACCCATGGTACAAAGTGGACTCTTGAACTTGTACACAACAAACACCCAATGTGACCAAAGTTTGCAAGACACAATTAGAGAAGAAATTAGCAAGATTCTTGATAAATATAATGATGAGCCATTAAGTATAACTATCACAGGACATAGTCTTGGTGCTGCCCTAGCAACATTAACAGCGTGTGATATTACAACAAAATTTAGTAACGCACCCATAGTAAGTGTTGTATCATTTGGAGGGCCTAGAGTTGGAAACAAAAGTTTTCGATGCCTATTAGAGAAAAATGGTACAAATATTCTCCGAATCGTCAACTCTGACGATCCCATTACAAAAGTTCCGGGATTCGTCATCGACGACGATATTGATGACATGGCGGAAAGCCACGTGGCGTCTACGGGTATGCCAAGTTGGCTACAAAAGTTCATGGAGGATACCCAATGGGTGTATGCTGAGGTTGGCAAGGAACTTAGATTAAGTAGTAAAGGGGATATTGCCACGTGTCATGATCTCAAGACATATTTAGACTTAGTAAACAATTATGAAAATGATACATCATTAGCATGAAAAACAACAAACTTTTTGTACTAGGTACATGAATAAGAATAAGAATAGAAATAATAGGAATAAGAATAGAAATAAAAATAGGACCACAATATTCTAGAAAATATGTATATTGCAATGTGACAAAGATGTACAAAGTCAATTGTTTTTGTTTCTTTCTAATCTTTTATATCATTATTTAATTGCTTTTCGTGTTGATTTCTAAAAAAGTACCACTTTAATATTTGATATGCATGTGTCGATATGTAAAAAATCCAAGCAACAAAGACTATCATTATCTATAATGTATACTTAATGATTAGGTGATAAAAATTAAAGTGCTCTAGATTTTTCTTGAGTTATATGTGTACTTTTTTCCGTTTCAGAATAAGTTTTGCCTTAGCTTATTTCATGTTTATTAAGAAAATAAATAAATATAGTTTACTAAGTTTTGCTTATTCATTAGATATATTTTTTAAAAGGATAGAGATTAACTCCATCGATCTTCACTTCATGCAAAGTTCTACTTCTTCCTTTTCTTTCATTAGATAATTGAGCTCAGTTTCCATCTTCTTTATCTTAAAGAATAGAAGCGAGATTTCATAATGAAGGAAGATCGAGGCGAAGCCTATTTATACATCATCATAGTTTAGCCTGGCTACTGCTTTCACATGGCAGAAACCATCATAGCGGAAGGAGTATGACGCTTTTATACACTCATATCTCGATTGAATTAACAATTAAAATTGCAAAAAATAAAATTTTATAGATTGATGGCAGGGATGAACCCATGTGTACGCCTAACGGCCACCCCTTAATGGCACTAATAAGAACACACGACACATAGGTAAAGGAATGTGCGTATTAATTTATTAGACAATATTAAAAAGAAATAGTTCTTTAATATGAGGGTTTATATACAATATAATTGAAAATAATTAGTACTATTTTGTGTTGAATTTCTAAAGTAACATTTATTTTTAGATAACTTTTGTTAACGTAAGCGATATTTATTTTAAAATATTTTTTATTAAAATAACATTTATTTTGAAAAAAAAAATGGGATTGCTTTACTATTATTGTCCTTTGTTAAAAGTCAAGACTAATTTAGTGTACAACAAATGCTTACCTAATGAAGTACGTATAAGAAAGACAATAAATACATTTTATCCAAAGACAATGAATTGCTTGCTAGCTATTTGTTGGATATCTACATCAAAAATAAAGGAACAATATTATTTTATAAATCTTAAGAAAAATTATGGATGGTGTAAATAAGTGTGTCGTTATGTTTAGTTGGTTAAAAAAAATATTCTTTCATAAAATAAATTCATTAAAAAGAGGATAACATTTTTGTTAATGAAATGAGGAAAAGAGTTGGGAAAAAAATAAGGTTCATAAGTGACTTTACACATTAAAGTAAATACATCCTTAATGACCTCTATTCCTGATGTGAACGGACACTTTTTCGTTGTTTCGTTCACGCCTTCTAACTCATCTCACCCTAAACTCGTTTCCCCACCACCCTCACATCCTACCCCTCCCCATCTCACATTGTACTTTTGTACGTTATAACCAAGTAAATAACTAACACGATTTGTGATGAGAAGGTTTGAGATCTTTTGACACGTCTAACTAAATATTTTAGATTCACGCTTTCTAAAATAAAAATAAAATTGTTATGATCGTCTTCGTCTCTTTTAACTATAAGCCTTGTACTAGTGATCATTTAAATTTAATATGATTTTAATTATTCAAATAGCAGTCATCGAATGGAAAACCAAATAAATCAATAAATTTTTAAAAAATATTTTTAAAATATTATGCTTTTACTTATGTATAAAAAAAACATTATTTTTTTCATGAAAATATTTTACCTGAAAATCATTCTACAGAAATTACAATTTGAGATGATATGTAAATGAGATGAGCAGTTTGATCTTATTGTTGATATGTAATCCAAATTGACTCGTAAAATCGTGACAAAAACTTAACAAAAATGAATGTGGCAAACATTGTCTTTGACATTGATATTCAATACATTAGGCATGAGGCAAAAGAGTTTGGCACATTTAATTAAATTGCCAAGAAAAGGAGACACAACTAATGACGTGTGTGGGAGTAGTGGGCTTGACGGTTAGTGGCGGAGCCAGGTAAGACCTAGAGAATTTATCCGAATCTTTTTTTATAAAAAAATATATGATTTCTATATGATTAGAATTATTTCATGCGTCTACATATATACACTACTAAAAAATAACTATTGTCTCATTAAAATTTTCCATTGAAAAATATATTCATAGGCTATTTTCACGAATATTCCTAATGAATCAATGGGAGAAAAAACGTTATTTCAATGAGAATTTATTTTTCATCGTGTATCTTTTTAATGCGCTGGTTTGATAGTGATGTAATGGGAAAATTATGTTTATAGTAAAATAAGTTCTATTGGTTCATGGAAAAACCAATGTTCTTGGTAGTGATACAATAGATGTTGAATCTCGTTTTGTCTTTTTTGTATGTGTATTTATTTTTTTTATATTTTGAAATTTGTTACTAAAAATTTTGACTCTGTCACGAGTACGCGAGCAACACACCTTGACATGCCAAACACATTGGTGGTTACCAAATCCATGTCATGCACAAGTCAAGCCGCAATTGGATGCATGGTTGAGCTTTGTGGCGGTTTGTGTTTAGGTAGATTGTGGGTATTATATCACACCAAAATTATATATATATATATATATATATATATATATATATATATATATTCTGTGTGTGTATGTATATATGAATGTATGTATGTATGTATGTGTTGGATACTACTAGTCTCTTTGTCATAATTTATTGACATATTTTGAATTTCGAGATTTAAACAAGTTTATATTAAATCGTAAATTTTTTTGATATATTATAAATATTTTAAATTATCAATTATTGAGACTTAAAGTACTTTTTACGTAGTTTACAGATATATACATTTCATTTTTTAAAAAAAATAAATAACAATTTCATGAATAATTTCTCGATCAAATTAATAATTTAACTCTCAGGAAGCAAAATGTGTCACACAAATTGAGATGGAAGAGTACTTTATTATCCTTTGTTTTGAGTACAAAAAAATTGAGTCACCGAAGAGAATTCTTACTAATTAAAGGGAGGTATTCTTTTCGTGGAGATGTGAACTCAACACTTGTCTGTTTGTTGAGTTATATTTTACGAATTGGTCATTGTATTTTAGAGAGAACAATTCATAAAGACTATTGCTAGACCGATAAAAAAAAATTTGTTGTTGTAGTGAGGTTAAATTTCATTAAAGAGAGCATGATTTTCGCCCCTTAGCCTAAAGATAAATATTTTCTTCATTTTATTTTCAATTGTAATTTGAACTTTGTAAACTTCACCAACTGCTTAAAAGAGGAAAAAATTGAGTGACAACAGTTAGCTCGCGTTTGAACATGCATTATGAAGCGATGATTTTAAATCAAGATTTGAACATGGATGAAGAAATTGTTTGTATCATGTAAAAGAATTATATCATAGAATAAGTAGTTACTACTATTATTGACTAACTTATTTACAAAGAATGATGTGCACATTCGATAAGATTATATACAGATTAAGGAAATTTCGATAGTTTTAACAACTAATTGGGATTTCATGTTTATGAAGAAAAAAAACTTATAAGAAAATCTCGATAGTTTTCACAATTAATTGGGATTTCATGTTTATGAAGAAAAAAGACTTATAAGAAAATTTGAATTGCATATCCAGACAAAACTTTAACTTCAAATCACAATTTTATTTCGCACGTACATAATGTACACGAGTTGATACAATCCTTATGCATTTGCAAAAGCAATGGTGAAGCAAAGCAAATATACAAACTAGAAAATGCAAAATGGGAAGAGAAGGAATCGAGTCCCTTTCCCATTCCATGAAATTGCTCGGATAGTAAACATCAAAACCTAATTCAGTCTTAACATTATAAATTTTTCGAATCATCAACGAAACAAAAAGATGTAAGAATACTGAAAAAATGACCTTTATTTCTCAAAGTAAATTGAACATCTATCCTTGTGAATATTTATTTTTATAATAAATACAATATCACTTTATTGCAAGAGTACCAATGATATCTTATGTTGCTGCATTTTTCTAAATGTTTATTTCATTTCAAATAAGTTTAAATAAAAAAATTCTATTATATTATTAGCTTAAAAGAACGAGTTTAATATTTTATTTGTCTCTAATCATTTACCGTAATTATTCAATACAAGTCTTCGAATTTGTGAGTTATAATTGACAAATGACACATATCAATATTTACGAATATTATATTATAAAATATCGAAATAGATTTAATGAGTATTTTTTGTACGTTTCGATGAGCACAAAAATATAGTCAAAAGAAAAACTAGTTGACCAAACCACTGCCAGTATGCATAGAATTCTTAAATATTCAAAATTCAAATCAAAATCTTTGATAAAAGTAAAAAGAATTCTATGATGATATTAGAGTCTAGATTCGAAATATACGTGCAAAGCCATGATGGATATGGTTGTTAAACTTTGATTCAGTAGCGAAGATAGAAATTTTATTATAAAAATTTAAAAAAAAAGATTTATCTTGTATATTCATCGAAGCGGATGGACATTCCCATGTGATATATCGATCAAGTTTTGAGTAGACGGAACCATTTGACGATAACGAGATACCTTCATAGAAAGCCAAACAATTGGAAGCAGGGGCGGAGCTACTTTGTACGAAGGGGTTCATCCGAATCCTTTTTGGTTAAAATAATTTTATAGATATATATAATAGATGTCGAACCCCCTTCGATACTTCATATGTCTATTTCTATAAATTTTTTAATCACCTTATTGAAAATCCTGGCACTGCCTCTGATTGAAAAATTATATGTGTAGCAAGATTAAAAATTGACTATATTGAGTATATATTTAATTTTATACACTCTTAAATTAATATAACAGAGAAAAAAACGCACATCTTTTATCAAACTTTTGACTCCACCATCTTTATTAAATAATA